TTCCTTCTCTTGGGTCCCAGTTCAAGCACCAATTCCCTCCTCCACCACCGCCCACCCCCCCAATTCCGCTCCTCGTTAATAATACCCTACAATGTACGGCACAGCGGGAGCCAGGGTTAAGTCACTGGAGTGGCAGGACCACTTCTAATACCCCCTCATCAGCCGCGCACAACATTTCTCAACAAGGCCAAAAATAAACCCTTTTACTGCCGGACGTGTACCACGGGGCTGCGTTACTGCTGTAGTGCAGAGCAAAACAGGGAGGAACGTATACAAAAAGCAACTGACCCCCCCCTCCCCGTCTGTGTCATACAGCCACAAAGAAGCCAGCAATATAGGTCAGGAAGGATTAGCAGCAGAGTATTTCAGGAGAGGAAGGATCAGAGTCCTCCATCAGAGCAGAGTATATCAGGAGAGGAGAGTTATAGAGGAAGGAGCAGAGTCCTCCAGCAGAGCATATCAGGAGAGGAGAGTTGTAGAGGAAGGAGCAGAGTCCTCCAGCAGAGTTAGGAGTCGTCGGGTCTATCAGTAATGTTGGTGGGTCGGTACTCTTCCTTCATACCAGAACATGTGTATCTGGGACGGGCGATTCGGAACATTCACGATGACACTTTGGTTCCGGGGCTCCAGATGCAGCCGGAACGGTCCTCTGGCAGACGATTTGTACGCACATTCCAGTTGTCACGCAGCACAGGACGCCGTGGCGGTGCCAATGAAAGTTGTACAAGTCAGCCATTGTGTGCAGCGCCTCTGGCGTGTTCTCTCCTCTCACTGCTGACACCTCGTCTTGTGTCCTCTGCTGGAGAGAGAGGAACCCATCGCAGCCCAACTCCTCACAAGGGACGGTACCAGGCCACAGCAGCCCAACACAAGATTAAAGGGCCACTCCAAAAACCAGAATTAAAAAGGGGGGGCGGGGGCTGCTCATCACCGAGTTCATACAAGTTCCTTCCACAATCCCTAAAAACACACGGATCAATTACACGCCTCCTCATAGAACCAGCCATGAGGTGTATGACTGCAGGAGGACATTAGAGTGCAGGCTCCCCCGGGGAAGACAATGCAGGAATGAAGCGTGCCATTCTCTACTCAAAGCACCCCCTTTTAGTTGTACCGTAGGCAGATGCCCCATTTGCCAGCCTCTCATGTCAGTACAATACTGATCTTCTAATTGCTGGTGGTATAGATGACGTGGGGCAGCGTCAAAGGAAAATCATCAGCAAGTGCGCCATTCCAGTTACTCCTGTAGAATTTAATGTAAGTCTCCCCCCCCTTCATGCCTTGTGTCCCATACTCTCATGGCTCATGTACAGATGGTAGTGTTAGCACCCTTGCTGAACGACTGCTGTGGTAAATATCTGTTGCACCCACTTTGTATAATCTACAAACTCCAGACCGCGTTTGAAGAAAAGGAAGTCTGTGCGACAACACTGGAGCGCGATGGGGAGACAGGGACAGAGCGTTGGTCACACTATGTAACAGGAAGGGCCTGAACAAGCACCTTCGTGGCAGGATCACTGGGGATTATTACAATGAAAGCTGCGGATTTTGAAATGCTGGGAAGTGATTTTTGAAACACGGCAACACGTCTATCAGATTTCAGTGATTGGGCTTATACTGACTCATGAAGGAGCATATGATCACTGGGAGGGGGGGGGTTGGGGGCCAGCTGACGATCACAATGCTGCTTTCCAGTATACGGCCTAAAAGGAAAAGAACCGCACGGTCCATTAACCCCACGTGTGATGTTAGAAGGCCTCGCGGACAGATGACGGAGGTTACGGGACCGCGGCGGCGGCAGTTTGCTGCATTGGTCACATAGTCTCCGTCTCCAGTTTCAGGCCGTTAATTGCACCGCCGCCTAAAAAAATCAGCCGCTTCATCCTCAAATAACCGAGCGTTTCGTAACTTAACAACCGCAATCTAATTTCTTCCTCCTGACTCCGAGTAAAAGTTCTCGGGGGGGAAGAGAGAGAGAGAGAGAGAGAGAG